CCTGCTTAGCTTCAGTGGGTTCCCAGTTGTGAGTTGTAGAGTGATATGGCAGCTTCATGTGAATGAAGACATGGTGTGCAGAAGTTGAATTCAGCCTTTTTCGCCATTGGAACCCCTTTCATGGCAAAAGCCATCTGTAAAGACAGGATTTCACTTAAATTAGATGGGCACCAGTCAGATTGGCACCAGGGTCCAGAAAGAAGTAAAGAAATGTTGAAATGAGAGAGGAAAAAGGGAGAAGTCAAAGAAAAAACTATATTATAAAGAAAAAGGGTATTACAGAAATATACTGGAGATAAAACCTTCTCTAGCATTTCAGTGATGGACATTAATGTAACATTAGTGGAGACACCCTGTTCCAGAGAGAGAGAAAAAACGGAGAAAAAGAACAGTATTCAGGTTCAGGAATTAAAACTAAAGGCATCAGAATGTCTAAAAATAGTGTTAGGGTATGCTATAGACAGGTGTTGGCAACCTCCCAGAAGGGGCATCCCAAGAGTTTGTATTTGCTTGCCATTGACACTTTTTAATGTCAATAATAGATCAACTAACTTTTTCAGTAATATAAACATAATGACTTCTGAAATTAATACATTAATATTGTTATAAATGGGGGGTTACTAACATGGGGAAAATCAGGAACTGGCAGAGTGGATAAATCAATAAGTAAATTAAATAATCATAACCTCCATTTGTAAGAATTTTGCCAAGAACATACCCCCAGCAGTTGGTATAATTAGAGACAGTAAAGGAACAAGTAATAGGTTTATTCCATGTTGAGAAGAGAAAAATACAACGTTTTGGCTGTGTAGTCTTCTTCGGGTGTAAAAGGCTCCAGAGTCGAAACGTTGTGTTTTCTTTCTTCTCTTTTCAGCATGGAATAAACCTATTACTTGTTCCTTTGCAGCCTTTGCATGCTGATGCAGCTACCCACCTGAACTAAATAGTTAGAGGCATGTGAGCTCTTTGTTCTCTGGAACAGTTTTATTAAACTAAGACGTTGTTGTTATAGGAGACTTCAACTTTCCCCACATAGACTGGAACAAACCTATAAAAATGTCATAAGTGGAAACTGCATGGGATACAGAGTTAATAACTGCTTACCTATCCAGTATGTCAGAGTTCCTACAAGGTAAAATGCAAGGATTGATCTAAACATTTCAAACAATCAAGACTAGACAATCTGAGGTGGGAGATCCATTAAATAAAATTAAAGCGATAGAATAGTAATCAACAGGCATGTATGCAATGGTTTTATCAATTAGATTTATGCTTACTTCTCCTTGTCTGAGCTGACCCACTCTTTGACTGGGTTCCATGTTGAGGAGAAAGGTGTGGAATTTGGAACCTTTACTTTATGCAAAATCCTATATGCAGCAAAAATATTTGTCAGGATTTCCTACAATAATTTAATTCTGCAAGTTTGTAAGAGAACAATTGTCTATATGTTCTGTAAGTATACTGTGCATATACAGTATCAATACTTTAAAATGCTGAAAAAGATATTTTAGTACTGTATAGAACTTTTTGATAAAGAAGGGGGTCAATTAAATATTTACATAATAATGATAGAAGTAGAACCCAAATCTGAAGAGTGGCTTTTTGTGAATAGTAAAATGGAGCGATCAAATATTACTTGTGATTAAAATAATAATCCCCTTGAAACTAGATGATAGGCTTTTCAATTAATAACATAAGATGAAACTGTAATGTACTAGCAAACTGGGAATTAACAGCTGGTAACCAGCTGAATCCTCTTGAGACATCTTCCATCTGTTCTTACCATAAATTAATATTCCTGTGTAAATACATTTATCTTGAATTATCAATGGCCTGAAAATACATATCAGTTTTATTAGTATTTTGTTTAATTGTTACTATTCAAGAAATTAAGTGTTTTTCATCTCAAAATTATTGAAGTCACTGATTTACATATTTAATTAATGGATATATGTCATAGTTTAATGAGTAGATAAATAGATATAAATTAAAGGGTTAGTTTCATTTTATTATAATAGTGTTTTACACATAGTGATCCCTTCTAATAAATATTTCTCAAAAGCCGAGTTAAATATGAATAAACCTCCAGCTTTTTCTTTCTCATGTTAGTTTGACAAGCACAGTCACAAACAGTGGGGAAAAAAACTGGTATTATTGTGTGGTTATCACTAACAAGGAGAAATACTATTGAGCCTTAACACTGCTATCCCCTGTAAAATTCATACAAATAAAAATAAAACATTTATTCCTTTAAAAATATACTGTGTCATTGCTAATCTGCTCTAGCAGTGTACTTTTTATCCAGTTACAACCCTGGTAGGAAAGGAAACCCATTCTTAAACTGGTAGCATTTGCAAAAGAAAACTAGAATGTTCAATTGAAATAGTACCCGTGAATGTTCCGTTTTTTGCTTTAGTTATTTACATGAATAATTATTCAAGTAAATCATGCCATGTTTTCTAGATATTCGATTATTTTCATATAGAAATATTACATGAATTGAGTTGTATTTCTCCTCTCTGTTAGAGGTATAGATCTTAATGATTCTTGAGAGTTTCATAATCTAAATACATAGATCTGTTGAATCAAAAACCTTATGCCTTAGTGATTAATGTACACTATGCTATTTATTATATAAGCTAAGCATTAAAGGTTCCAGACCTTTAAGGTTTTTCTCTATGTTCATGACAAAGCAATACAAAAAAAAATCCTCTTTAACAGAACATTTCTAAATCAATAAAAGTTAATATAATCTTAATATCATATTTCTTATTTTCAAAAATAAATCTAAGGGGTAAGTTAGGCATGTCAATGAGCATTCAGCCTACATTAGATGCCAGAAAAAGGTTCTCTGGGAGAAAGCCAAAGGGAAACAGTTTTTCTTCCTTTGTTCTCCTTCTGTTGTTTGGGGAATTTGCTTGTTGCTGCTGGCAATGAAATCTTTGCAGGGTAGTAAGAATTACAGGTCACTGATATAACAGTTTACAGTATATACAGTATATTGAATACCATACCATTATATATGACATTCATCCAATAAACAATGATGTCAATTCTGTATTAAGGCACTGGACAGTATATTTTGTGTTCTATTGTAGAAAATGTATTAATAAGTTTACAATATTTTATTTGTTTTTTATTTTTAGGGCTTCTAAATGCTTTCACAATATTAATTCAAAAGAACTCAGCAGATGGCTGACACCTTGTTGATTTTGTTACATAGTACATCACTGCCAAAGATAAAAGCTTTCTTTCTTCAATCTGCATTTTAGTTTCCTACTGTATATTTTATGTTTTTAAAACTAGAAAATGCCATTGTTCATTTTTAGAGGCATTCATAATTGGCAAAGTGAACTGATGCCAAGCCAGCCTTTTTACAATTTAAGATGGTGTTTAGGCAGAATAGCACTTAACAGTAGAATGTAATAGGTAATGCACAGCTAATTCTAAACAGCTTCACAAGGAAAAACTTCACTTGGTTAAAGCACATTCATTTAGGAATGTTTATTGAGGTGGTAGATACATTTTGGCTTAACATACTTGACTGAGGGCCAGTCACCTGGCTGTACGATGGTGAAGGAAGGACTTCTATACAATGAAAGAAACTAAGAAAAAGGTACAGTAGTTTCAATGGTGAAGATAAGGGATATAGACAGAAAAGTGTGAGAAAGAGGCTTACTGTGGTATTTCAAATTTTTCAGGAACTGGCGTCATGGAGAATTCTGAGTTAGAGTACTATAGTTTAAGGGGACCTTGGTTGTTATACCTCCCAAACCTTTATCTAAAACTCCATATAGTATTGGCTGTGCTGACCAATCACCATACTTCTAATACGCCAAATAAAATCCCCAAATAGTTTGATAAAATAGCTACAGTGGCCGTACTGACATGATGCTGAACTATTTTGAACTGAAATATGAGCAGAATAGCAAATGTGACCTTTGGGAGCTCGACAGCACAACTACATAGACAGGAGGCTTGTTTGGATTTTCAAAATGCACACCACATAGAGATTAATGAGAGAATAATATCTTTGCTGAAATGTTTGTAAAGAATGCAGAGGTATTTACATTTCTTTTGAAATACTGTATGGTATACAGAATAAATGTGTCATACCAAACATCTGATGTAAAAGCTTGACTGTAAGAATACACAGGACATATAAATCAGTAAAAGAAAGAAAAGCAGCACTGTGAAAAGTAACAGATATACCAATTATCGTCTTGGATTCACAATGTGCTTTAATGGTACACTCAGTGTGAGAGGTTATGGTAAGTTAATTGAAAACTGCTGCAATACCTGAGTGACATAGTATTTAAGTGCAGTATATAGCAATATTTCTGGTGTTCTAAATGAGAAGGTTGTTGTCTGTGCACAGGTCGATTCTGTAATATGACCACACCAAACTTGGTCACCATTTGAGAAGATGTTTAATTTGCATCACACCCCATAGTTGACTACTAAGGCTGTTACCAGTTTAATTGGCTACTGTCTCAGCACGGCTTTTGAAGGTGAAGGTGAGTTTTCTGAAAAAGGAAAAAATAATTTCATCTGTTCTTCTGGTGTGAGTGAAGTTCTTCAGTCACACCAGAAGAAGACTCAACAACCCAAATGCTATGTTTCTTTTTTTACTTTTCAGTGAGAATTCATATTTTCTTGTTCCTTTGCAGACAACACAAACTGACAGCTTTCCACTCAAACATCTACAGTATTATGCAATATTGCTGTATTCAATAGCACAGTCTTTACCCAATGTTTGAATGCTGCAAGCTTTGAGGAATTGACCCATTATCAAAGACAAATCCTACACAGGCTTTCAGCACTGGTTCTGAAAGACATGACAAAAAATATCAAAGTACTGAATCCACTACAACTTGCTGTCCAGGCAATGCCTCTTGAAAGTCTTGATTGAAATGTGCTGAAGGATAACACTATTGTCACATGTGATTTCTGATCCAACATTTGGACTGAATTGTGTGAAAGATTTATTATAAATTCTTAAAGCATTCAATTTAACATTAACTACTGTACACTGGTCCTGGACCTGTAATACAAGCATCCTTTTTTGTGTTCAGTATTAACCCAGCACTTTACAATAAAGTGTAGGGTTTACTTATTGCCATAGAAAAGTTGTTCAGCAGTTGTTCCAAAACTGGATATTGATGCTAGATTCACAGCCTCATCTTCTTTACCTTCCTGGTTTTCAATACAACAGTGCAAATATAAAAGCACTTGTGAACTATAATTTATCTATATACTGTATGTTGATTGATTACACTTTTGTGAACTTGTAAGATGGTTTACCTGCATGCTAGATATTTTGATGCTTTCGGATTTGTCACTTTCTGCTGTTGTAGTCAGCAAATGCAGGATGTGAATTTGTATCAGAATGTGTATTAAACAATACTATCGGAAGTACTATTACATAAGTTAAAACATATGTCTAGGGCTATCATCCCAACTATACAAAATAAATTTAAGGATGTTTTTTATATTAGAAGAACTTATCACCATTCAGTCAAGAGGGTTAACACCCTTGAATGGATGCCCAAAAAGGAAGCAAAACTAACCCAGGTAATTGTAGACCAATAAGTCTTAACTGTATTAAATGTAAAGTTCAAAAGCAATAATAACATGTAAAATAGAGGATTATCTGTGTTACGTCCCAGTGTGTGGTCTGTGTGTGTTTTTTTTATGTTCCGCACTGCTGACCTTTGATTGTTCTTCCTCCCCCATTGGCCCACCATTACACCACTGTTTCAGTATGACATCATCAATCAGCATCTCAGCCAGTCTTATTCAGTATATAACATGGAGGTCTTCAGGAAGAAGAGGCCTTTCGTTTCACTTCGGTCCCGTTTGGTTTTGCTTTGCTTCATTTTGCTTTGGTTATCGCTTCGTTTCGCTTTCGCTTTTGCTTCGGCTTTGTTGGTTTGTTGTTTTGTGTGTGTGTGTATTTTCGTATAGCTTTGGCTTTGTTGTTTTTGTTAGTTTCTGTTCATTTCTTTGTACTTTAGTTTGTTTGTGTTTATCTTTGTTTCGCCATTACCTTGCCCTAACATGTTACATGTTCATCCTTTGTGTTCTTTTGTACCCTGTTCCTGTTGATTACTCTTTTTTCCTTATTTGTATTCCTAGTTCACTTGTGTTTTTGTGTGAACTTTTGTGTATAAGGTTAGTTAGGTTGTTGGGTACATTCTAAACACTTAGTTGATTTTGTATTAGTAACTCTAATTTAGTACGGGTGAGTGCCGTTTGTCTTGTATGGTTTTGGGTAGTCAGTGGAGGTTAGCTAGGGTGTTGAAGGCGCTGAAGACCGTGTGTTTCAGGCTTTCTTTTGTAGTCAGATTAGCTTTCCCTCACTTTCCTAGCCAGCTCCAGTTCGTTCGTTATTTTCTTTTCTTTGGCACCACTCTAGTTCCTTACCTTGTGTGTTATTGTGTCCTATTTTGAACCAGTCACTTATTCAATTTAAAATCATCACTTTTGCACCCACCTTTATCACGCTTCCTAGTCCCTCAACAGAACCCACCTGCTTCCAAAAAAATTATCCCAAATGTTACACCCCTTTACCCCTAGACACTTGGGGTTGTAACAATCTGGGTACTATTATGTACTATTATTAGCATGTTTCTCCAAATGTGGTTCCAGAGAGTCTGTAGGTTTTCATGCCAACTCATCTCCTAGCAACCTAAACAGCTCATTATTGGCTTTATTTGATCTACTTCTCTCAGTCCTTGAGATGGTGTTGCTTTAAACAAGTCTAGAAAACCTCAAGACACAGCAGTCAGGTCTTCCAGGATCAGGAATATCCCTATTATATGGGATAGTCACCAACGGCATGTAGTCTCCCTGGAGCTGAGGTCTCTGATGAAAATGCAAATATTGTTGTTCCTGTTGAGGCTCATAGCACAATATAAAGAATGCTGTTTCCATACTTGCTGAATTTCGAGTCTTTGAAAAGAAACTGAAATGCTATGGTAAACAAGAGGAAATATTAAGCAAATAACACATCACATGACCAAGGACATTGTGTGCTAAAGAGGCTTTCAGCTTTTCCTGGCCACTAGAAGCCCTTCCAGGGTAATAACCATCTGTACACACTGTACATGATAAAACAAAATGCAAAATAGCTACTTTTAGTATTGGAGAATTATGATACTGTAGCATTAGAGATTTGTGATGTAATTGAAATCACTGAAACAGTTTTCAATGTGATGGTAATCGATATAACAATCTTTAGCAGGAAAAGATGGAAGAAGTGGAAGCTTAATCACAAATAGCATCCATGTCTTAGAATCTACAATATAGTGCTTAGTTGTTATTTGTGTTTGCACTCCATAGCACTTTCACATAATCTCCAATCTGATAAAGCTAAAAATGTTAAAAAGGTGTCAATTAGATTTTTAAAGAAAAGAATAAGAAAATATGAAAATGGTATATGGCATAACTATTCAGACACTTTGCCGCAGCAGTCCCAGGTCTGTCCAGGAGTAAAACAATAGTTGGAAAGGTCACAAAACTATTGAAATAATGTTATGACTGCTGTCCTGCTGCATCACTCGGCCTGTGGTTGCCCTGGGAAACTGGAGCATTCCAGTTTTTCAGGGGTTCCCTGTCTGACAGGATCCACTTCCAGCTGATCTGTTCTGATTATTAATTAGGAATCCAGTCATTCAATTATCCAATTTCCTTTATAATGCTGAGGCATCTCTGTTGCAGTGCTTCTTCATTATTCTCACCCTACTAACTCAGTGGCAGTACAGACCTCACGCACTCTGGTGTTCACTGGCTCTGCGGGCTGAATCTTCAGTGGCTGATTCCAGGCACTTCATCTGTCCTGGTGGTGAGAAAATAAAGCACATGAGAACAAAGGACAGTGAGAACGGGCGTACAAGGTGAAGAAGAGTCATTTTGAACTGAACAACACATTGGAACAAACCGCAAGCTACATACATACCTTAGACTGACTATCAGTTCATGAGGGTGTTTTGACACTGAAGGAGATGTGCAGGTTTCCTACACCAGTAGAAGTAGGCTCTGCAACATCAACCTCCCATACAAATCTGGCTGTGAATATCTGAAAGTGTAATCAACCCATTGTTGTATTTGGTAGTAACATGTGGGATCTACTCACAGCCCATAACGCCCTGCACTGAGGTCTTTAAAAATCCTCTGAGCTGAGAAAAACAACTACCAATTCGTGCGGGGCCAAATTAAGACAATTCCCATTACTAATTAACGTACAGAATAGAACAAAGAAATGTTACATCTGAAAAACAGTGACGAAGGCTGTACAACCAGAATTATAAGGATGTTCCTTATAAGCAGGGACTGAGGAATGAGATGTGTCTGGAACTGAGTAATGAGTGGGCAAAGTAGAGGTGAATACTAGAGAAAATCATACTTGAGCCATATTTTAGCAAGAGAGTGATCAGACCACACAATGCCAGAGGCTAAGTGGAGTGGTTTGACATAAAGAAAATTAATGTCAAGAATGTTCCTTGACGAAGTCCTGACTTGAATCCGATAGAATATACAGTGAAATTTGAAGATTCCAGTCCATCAACTATCACCAGCAATCTTCTCAGAAATAGAGGAATTCTGACTGGATAAAGAGGCAAAAATGACAACGTCCCAACTGGATACTGTACTTGTTTTAGACGTATCCCAAAGCATTTTTGCCAAAGATGTTGCTGCTAATTACTAAGTTAAGGGGCTGTAATACTTCACGAAATACTGTTGATGATTGATGATTTTTCCCTTTTTTATACATTTTTACAGGTTTTGCTGATATTCAAATTTGTTCTTCATGGTTCAATGGTGTTCAATTTGTTCATAACATTTAAGACAAAAGTTCATTTGAATTATTTTACAGTACAATTCCCGTAATGATCAAATCTTGAAGTTATACTTTGCAAACTCATAAAAATGTTTATCACAATATAAAATGGCACAAAAACAAATTGTGCCACTGGACTTCTAGTGAAGTTTGAACCAAAGTATTTTTGTTGTTGCTCACTCACAGCTTCATGCAGATATATAGATCAATATAGATAAATAGTTAAAAAGCTACTGACATAATCAGTTTGCTCATACAAATAATTAGAGAGCCAATTCATCCCAAGCACTTTGCAAGTTGCACTTTGCACTGTATTTGAAGCAGACTAAAAAAAACGTTCAAAATGCAAGTCCAGATATCAGTTATAATGCAATCTTAAACATTAGTACTGTACTTCATTACTCATCTTGTTACAAAAAGTGGGTTTGAAAAGTGCAGATAATGAAAAGATGATTGAAGAAGCACTGATTGACAGTAGGATAACAGTAATAGAGTGGGGTAGGTAGCAGGACTTAGAAATATACTCACAGCAGTACTAAAGGTACAGCATTATGGAACCTTTTGATAATAGTGAATTAACATAACACATCACAGCGAGGAATATAAATACAGATATTGTAGTCTTTAACTTATCCATACCTTCTCTTTGTCCTGTGTTGTTGTGTTGTGGCTACCAGTACAGGTGCACAGGTGAATTGTACAGTACAGTAATGGTTGTTTATTTTCATCTGCCCTATGAGTGTGTGTTGCCTTGTTTCCATTGCTTGCAAGGATAGTCTCCAGCTCCCAGGCTAACCTGAATTGGATGCAGTGGTTACAAAATGGGTAGATGAAAAATATTTTCATGTTTTCTACTATTTTATTTTTAGATGTTTTTGAATTTTATTTTTATTTTTCTGCATTGGATTTATGACAGTGGAAGGCTGGAGAAGAAGCAGGATCTGGATAATCAGGATATCGTACAGCAGGTGTATTTCCTCTGCATCCAATAGCATCTCAAGATATACTGACTTTTAAGTGCAGATGTTGGCATTTGCTTTGAAGGTCAATGGGAATGATTTAAGTGCAACAGGTGAGGTGGATGTGGAAAACAGTGGTTTGGTACAGAAAGAAATCACGAAATGAATACATAGCACAACTTTTCATTGTTGTTGAAGTAAGCAAGTATATCACATGTAATGTATTGGCATTGTAAATATCTGCTTACATTATAGTCCTTTATGTGCACATTTATTAATTCTGTACAATAAAATGGATTACAGTACTAAAATGTTTGTAAAATGCCTATTACATATATATATAAACATAATAGATTGCCACATGTGTAATTGTAAGCTACCAATCAGCCTTACTTTCATTGGTCTCCTCAGGAAATTTTCATTATTGCATGTTGGAGCGATGGATGTGTGAAGCATTCATGAAGAATAAGAAAGTTTTGTAGTACTTCTGGAAATTGGGTCATTTGCAGGGCCTTGCAAATAATTCATCCTTTTCTAATATAACTTTTTTAATTGCACACTGTAGACATTCTTTTAATTGTGTGAATTGTCAAATACATTATGTGCCCCTGCACTAGTTGAGTTTTTAACAATAGATCTGGTGGGATGGTAGCAACCAAGGCCTACCTCTTCTGTGCTACTCTAACTTGTAATTCTAAATGACATCAATCCTTAAATTGTCAATCCTATCCCTTGCTTGCATTCATCTTTTTGTATCCTTTCTCCATGCCATCTCCATCTTTGTAGCTACAATAACTCTTGGTTCATTTCTCTTTCTGTATGGGGGTCCACACTTCCGGAACAAGTTGTTGGCCCTCAGGCAAGCAGGTTAAGTCATGGTATCTTAAGCTTTACTCCTCAATTAACATTTCTAAATGCATTTTCTTACTGGGCTTTGTTTTACCTCATGAAACATACGTTAGCAATAGCAAAGAGGGTTAGTAATTATGCAATCAAAACATTTTAGTTTCTGATTTTTCTTTTCCATTTTACAGACTTTAGTTCTTTCACCCATAAAAGTTTATCAGTTGAGCATTAAAGTTTGATTTAAATATTTTCTTTAAAAAGGTGTGTACATTATATGTAATTCAAGAAAATGTGATGTCATTGGAATAAGGGTAATACTTTGCAGGGCACATTTATCAGCAACAAAACTCTGTAACAGTGAAGAAAGAATCAACAAATGGAGGGGTATGACAGTATAATGATTTTTTTTATTTTTGCACATTTTAGCCTACCCCTCAAAAGACTGGGGAAATTCATTAGAAGAGTCAATAGCTGAAAATGAAATGGAAAACAAGGATAACAATTGCTTCCTTACTGTTAGTCAGAACACCTGCTAGAGGAAATTGCTGTTTGATTGAGTGTTTTCAAACAGTCAAGACAGTGAGGAAAACAGATGTTGATCACAACATGGTATCTTTTGGAGTATATTTTGAAACACGTAGAGTTCAATATGTTTATAATTTCAGGATTTTCAAAGAATGTGGCAGAGGTCAGAAAAAAAGTGGAATCTTGTAACCTTGGTATGGAATCAGAAGAAAATAGCCTACTTCAAAGATATTCCCCCTAAAGCACAAAATAGATGAATCACAGCAAAAAAAAAAGAAACAAATCAAAGGCTTAAAAGAAGTGAATCAAATAGTTCAAATAAAAATAAAGTAGATTAAGTAAAATATTGAGACAAAAAGCACTTTAAAAAATTAGAAAAGGATTTTGTTAAAAGAACGGGATTAAGCTAAAGAAAAGAAGCATAATGAACTGCAAGCAGAATTAAAATGGACAGTAGAATAGCCAATAGTAAGATAGAAAAGCAAACAGATGATATTCATAGACCATTAAAAAACTCATCCAGCAGTGACTCAAGACAGGGGTAATACCCATTAACTGGGTGAGAAAACCTAACATAGTAATTTAGGCCAATAACTCTTATTTCTTTTAAATATAAGGTTATGGGAATGATAATTAAAGCCAAATTAGAGGTTCAGCTGTATGACAGTAAGATTCTAGAGGATAGTCAACATGGATTTAAAAATGTAGGTCCTGCCTAATTAACTTCTTACTGATCTTTGAACAAGTAACAGTAGTAAAGGATACTGTACAAATATTAAAAGTACAAGCAGTACATAAGATAAACAATCCTCCAGAGTGTAATGGTACTGTAACAACTGTACTTAAGGAAGGAAGAAATTCTATCCATAAGCAATTAGTAAAAATGATTAATGGATTACTCATACGCATGATTATAGATTACAATAAATTTTCATTTTCATGTAAAGTTAATTGCAGTTAGACAAGAGTAACAAATATACAAGAAGCTGTTGTGAAGATAATGTTAGAGTTCTTAGACAAGCCACAGCAGAATTGTATAAAATTGAATAAAAGTTAATGAAGTACATGATGTTTACATGCTGTAACATACAGTATTTCAATCTCAAATTAGTCTTATTATTGTTTCTCATTAAATCTTAAATTGTAGATGTAGTCTTAAATTAAAAAGTGATGTGTTTGAAAATAAAATTGGTAAGTGGGCATTCATCAGAAGATTATAGGGTGAATGCTTCAGTTGGGGTAATGTAAGTGGTGTTCCATATGGATATGTATAAGTTCCACTATCTTTCCTTATTTATATTAACAATTCAGCTTCTGGTATAGTCAGTAAATTAGTTAAGCTTGCGGATGATACCAAATTAGGGGGATTAAGAAACACTGTAGGAGCAGCACAGAAAGTTAAAAAAATATATATAATTCAAATTATATTTACTGTAGTCAAGTCAAGGGATTTCATCAAATAGTAACAATACCAATTATAAATACTAAGTGGGAAATTTAGTTTTTCAATTTACACATGATTTAAATAATAATAATAATAATGTAATGTTAATAATAATAATTAAGGCATGTGGGGAAACTATAAAAAAGGCAAGCAAAATATTTGGATGTATATTTAAAAGCATATAGTTCAAAACCAAGTTATGTTACGTTAGATGTATAACACAAATGGAAACTACTATATCTGGAACTGTACTTGCAGCTGAGAATAGAAGGCACTTATTTACATTTACTTATCCAAAGGGTTGTGGGACCAGTTGACCAAGCTAAAAAGCCATATTGTTGAAACCATTACCCTGGGCTTTTTAAAGAAACAACTGGATGGGATCCTTAATTTTGAATCAAAAAGAGCTAGATGGGCATTGACTGTATACAATGTCTTATGATCTTATGTTTTGTAAATATAAACTCCCTGAAAAAAGTTTACATTCTTTGTGATTGGTATACGTCTGCTGTACAGTATGTCTGTAACACAGTTGGCCCACAAAGAAAGAGGGAGGAACACTTTTGACTGAAAAGAAAGAAAAGAAAGAGACAGCCAAATAAGCAACAATGGGACTCATCCATGATCCCTGGATTCTATGATAATTTCTGTTACACCACAGATAAACCGGGGCAATATCCTATCTGTAGGCAAACAGATACTTAATAAATCTATCACGTTTTATATGTTATGCTGTTTGCTGTTGTCGGAACTAACAAACACAATTTGTATTGATTCTGACTTGTGTAGTACTTTGCTTAATATTTTGAACACCCATACAGGAAAATCAATATTCAGAGCAGGTAATACAGAGGAAAAGAGTTAAATTTGAATTTCACTTCCTAAATCTCTCTAAGAAAGCACAGTGATGAACACCTAAACCAAAAAGTAATACAGAGAAATATTTAGTTGATGATATTTCTGCTATACAGTACCTCACTCCAAGTAGCAGCGGTAAGTACTGTAGAGAGAATAACAACAATGGAACAGTAGAGGAGGTAGGGGGTGGCTTGCAAGCTACTAAGCACGATTGTAAAACAGAAGTGAGCCAAGTCCACAGCAATTTTTTATCTTGCAACTTGTGATCCATTTCTGTTATCTTCAATATTCATAGTTGATCTGCTTTTTCAGTTTCTCTTTTTATACATTACATATTACATACATATACATTACAGTGTTTTGCGATATATATGATTTCTGCATGAATTGTGCTGAGTTAAACCAATAAAAGAGATATTACTAAAATATATATTTTACTTGATGCTCCTGGGGTGATGTGTATGTGCACTTGGTACTTAGCAAAGAGAACAGATAATCACTCATTGGAGCAAATCAAATAAATGATAACTGGATTTATTCTAATGATAAGAGTTTTGTAAGTGGGGTCAGTCTCAGTATTTTTATGAGAGGTTGCCCATTCCAATTCAGATCAGGATGTGTCCCTTTAGGTTCTGAAATGTGACATCAGTCTACAAAGTAGCATTGAAAACAAGATGCTTGAAAAAAATAATACATTTAAAATCTAGAACATTACAATTTATTAATATGCAGAAAGTAGAATTCAATTCTGTTCTGAATTGTAAAAGAAAAATAAAATACATACTTATTTATTACTTCATAGTTCTTGTTGTGGGAGATTCTTCATCAGAACAGCAGGGCAGTCTTTCCAGATTCAGTTTTATTGAGCTTAATAAGGACAGCAACCTGCACTGGGTCTGCGCTGCAGAACAGACACACTTTGAGGGCTTCCCAATGCTTATATAGGATCAGAAAAGTTTGTTTCACAATCTGAGAGCTTGACCTTTGATATGTAACAGTTTGTTTTGCTTGTCTTATTACCCGCAGCTCTTTGAGGGCTAGTCCTGTTTTATGATATTTGGTTGTGCCCTGTCCTTTGATATGCAACACAAGTTGATTTGTTTGTCCTGTGTTATGGTACTGTATGTGTCTGTGAGTGTTATTCCTGGGAAGAAAATCAGTTGCTTTAGAAGGTACTTTAATACCTCCCACAGTGTTGTTAAGTTGTTATATTGAAGAGCTGGATATGTACAGTATATCTGTATGTCCCTCTTCAGTTCTAAACCCCTATGAGCGTGTACTGTATAAGTCTTACAAAACAGTTACTGTAGAAATCACAGTATAAAGCACATGCTACAACAATGTGTATAAACCCTTTAATGGAGGAAATACAAAGTTGTCATTAATCAGCATGTTGTTAATATCCAAAGTAATATAACTGTAAAGTCTGTGGGAGGCAATTACTTTTTGAGACAATGCCCTAAAGCTGTGTTAGTCAAGATTGCTTTTTAAGTGGCATCTTATATGTACATGAATGTGCTTTTTTTCTGCCCTTTTCAAATAACGTTAATTAGGCTACTGGTACATGAACAAGTATGTTTTGTGTATATACTGTACACCTGACTTACTTCAACAAGAGATCTCTGCTAATTGCACCTTAAAATAGGACTGAAAGTTTTGTGATGGAAAGAAAAATATCCTTGCTCAGGAAATTCATGCTTAACAGTGTGTTTGCTGATTTTCATTTATAATCAATAGCATTCAAACCATTTCAGGATGTAGTGTTTTTCTTCCCTGTGCAGACACACTTGCTTGCTGCTTTCATTTAAAATCAGCATTTTCAATATGTTTACCATTGCAAAATGCATGCTCCAAAAACCTTGTTTCAAATGCTACCAAACAAGAATTCTACCCAAGTGAGTCATTTTCTGACATTTGAGGCAGATGAGAAAAAAGTAAAATAATTATTTCAAAGCTATTTAAAAAATCTCTATATTAAATTGCAGTTTCCATGACAACCACCATTTTCATTACAAAATGACAAGGTTATTTATAGCTAATGGCAACTGGATCTTGACAGCTTTAAGCTTTTTATGGCTGACAGTTTATGTTCAAGTAATTACAGTATTAATGAGTCTGAGACAATGTTCTTGTGGTTTGACTGTCTCCTACCATGAAGCATGTGGTTGGGTGTTGTGAACTATTTCCTGCCCTTTTCAATAAACAACATAACTTGTTAAGGCTTTAAAAATAACTTATCAGCTAACATGATTTACAAGTCTTGTTTGGTTATTATTGCAGTAATTCCCTCTTTTTCCCTAGCTGTATCAGTAAGTGCAGAAGGTGAAGCAGGAGAGAAGGCTTACAGGCTCACTAGGGTTTATTGCTCCTGATAGTAACAGGTGGACATGCTAGTCACAAAGGTGGGTAAGATGTGGAGAGAGAAAAGAGTGTGGCATCTGCTGGAAGCATGAGGTAAGAGAGTTAGAAAGAGTCAACCTACACTTAGGTAACAGGGTGAAAGGCAAAGGGCTGTCTGACACTGGGAGTGAAATGCTACATTAAACTAAGTATGAAAATATTAGTTTCATTTTTATCTTTTTGGATTCAAAATAACTTTTTACTAAGGCAAATTTTATTTTTTAAATCTCCAAAACAACAGCTGTCAAAGAATCAGCATTGCAATGTTTTGTTACAGTTAAGAGCATTTTAACTATTGCAAGAAACTTGTAATAAAATAGTTGTTTAGATAACCTGACCATCTCACAGTTGTTTGTTTTTAATGACATAAAGCACATTCTTTCATTCTTATTGAACACAATTGTGTACTTGAAAACAGTGGATTATGTTAACAACTGTACTTAGTCCATTAATATTTGATGATCTAACAGAGAAGAGTGAAGCATTTTACAGTAAAAAAATCTATCAAAATATCCAAAGCAATGCCCTATTAGATGACTTAAAGAGTGATTCAGAATGCATGGGAAGGCCTCTGCAGTCTGAATAATTTCAGGTTATGCAACTCATAATTAGTATGCAGGCGGGATAGGAAGAGCTAGATGTAGAAAAAGGTAATCTGCCACCAGCTCTGAATAATAATTTAGATAAATGGAATAGTTTCAGTTATAACTTTAAAACATGAACATATAAAAACATAAATAATGTATAAATGAGAAGGTACAACTTTTGAAATATTGAAGTTACCAAATGTGTTACCAATACACAAACAGCAATACATACTGTAGATTGTATCATGCAGAAATAACTTTAAATGCAAAATTAATTAGATAAATGGTCAAAGAGCTTAATTTGAACAATGCACTGTGTAAAATAAAGATATAATAGATATAAAAAGAATATAAAAACAATTTTTGTGTTCTTGTAATTTTTGTATTGTTTATTGATGGGTATGGTCAGTGCAGAGCTCTCAATAGAGAGCAAATTATTTGTCTCAGCAACCACAGCTGGGTGGATTTCAAGAGCTAACGAGTCTCAACTGAAGGAAAACTTCAAGTACAAGACGAACACTTCCCAAGGAAGAGATCGAGCCAAGAACTTAGCCCTCATGGTAGCTGTAGGCAGGTAAGTTAGTGGAAGATCAGGTCTCCTGTATGTGGAGGTTCAGCTGTGAGACAGCCTGGCCGTAGCGGGACAGCAGCTGGTGTGAGCTGGAAGTTATGGGTGCTGTTAGGAGAGTGCATATGCCTTACAGGTGCAACAGAGAAGGAAGACTAGCAGCTGCAGCTAATCCCTAATAAGGGGCATAGAGAGTGAGCAACAGTTCTGGAGGGAACTGGGAGAAACTGTGGGACCTTAATCCCGGAAGGGACCAAGAAGAACGACAGTCCTGGTGGAGTTTGGTGGAAGAGAGCCTCCAGAGATAGAGAAGATTGAATTATTTAAAGAGATGGCAGCCTGTCATGGGAGAGAACGGTGCTGTCCAGGGAATGATTGAGTGTTTAGTGAATTAGAGGTAGCAGTGAGATAAGGCAGTGGTGGCTGGGCAGAGATTCCAGGTGTGCCTGCAGCTGTAGGAATGAGTAAGCGGTGGTGGCTGGGCACAAGAGTGGGTGAGCCAACAGCCTGGGGCATGAGGGAACAGTGAGGGACAGTGTGCTGAGTCGTGGCCCGAGTTGTGAACTGCAATAAGAGACTCAGACATTTAGTCTGGGCACAAGAGTGAGGTCAGGAGGACATCATCAGCTGGAGGTTGACCTGGAAGTCCAAGGGCTAGCTGGTTCTGAGAGGACCAGTAGCTTTCGTGGAGAAGGAGCAAGGAGACTCTATGAATATAACATCTGGGAGATGGAGACTCAAAATGAGTGACAGGACAGGAGGCTCAATGAAGTTCCCAAAATAGACTAGCTAGAGGGCGGGAGCTGGAGGTGAAGCTCTTCGAGTCATGGAATTTGGAAGTGAAGGCCTCGGCAAGGCGAGGGACCTCCTTGGCAAGGCGCCCAGAGGTGTCTGACTATGTGGCCCCTCATGTCTTGGTGCCACGATGAGGAGGCCGAGAACATCACCACTCTCTAAGGAGATTGTGTGAAAAAGTGCAAAAAAGTTCCTCAGCAGGCTGTGAGGGAAATGCTCTGGACATGCCTATCCATGTCAAAGGTGGCAGCCAATACCGCCAAGGTGCACAATATGCATATAACTACAAATTTGTATTCACAAATATACTGAGTATGAAAACAAACAGTAATCTTTGCCTCTGATGTATGGTTAGCATTGACAGTATGAAATACAGAAAGCCTGCTTCAGTTCTTGAGCCTCTGTCAAGCTATTTGTGGAATGCACCTGTTTCTTCACAATAGAAGATGTCTTCCCTAGGCGTCTTTCATCCATAGCAAATTCTCCAAGTTCCGTGGCCACCAGCTAATAGTAAAAAGAGCAGGAGAGTGACTGGATCTGGAGGTTCCCACTCATTATCTGGTATAGAGGCAGTTATTTCAGCAGGGCAGTAAAGCAGTTGGGTTAAAGCACAAATATATTTTGGCACCTGTAACTGAGACGTGGCAGGATCTACTCTTCTCACCCACTTTGAAGAGATGGCCAAAAAATGTGTCTTAATCATAGTCTGAGTCACCACTCTCAACTGGATAGCTGTCTCCAGGGACATCATCTTTCTGCAGCTGAAAAACACAAAAGGAATCTTAAAACATGAAACCTGTAATATCAGGACACTCATGAACTGTCCAGTTAACAGATTGTCTGAACACCACACTGAGTTTGCTGCCAAAGAACTTGCACAGATTGCGTTGCCATCTTGAATGAAAACTAACCAGATGGGAAATCACATGGAACATGAAGGTGGTTACATTTTTTCTGTCACTGAAAATTAAATTAATAAAGTCGGATTTATACAGTTGGATTTTAATGAAATCATCAACTACCTTCAAGAGTTCCCTGTTGGAATCAATGAGTACCTCATGCCTCTTTCTCTCACATTAGCAGGGAATCAATATGCCACTGTTCTACATTGTGATCACACAATCAAGGAAGATTTCTACGTTAAGCTCTTCTGCGAATCTGGAAGAGTTAGCAATTAATGGACACTGTCTTATGCATTCAGCTAACAGAAATAGATCTAAAACACTTCCTGGAGAAGCTGGAGCGTCCATAAAAATGTTACATAACTTAAAGTTAATGCTTTCAAGAATTCATTAAGTTCAAACAACAAAAGAACTGAAGAAAAATAATATTACTCAAAAACACATGAAGAAATAGAGGCCTCCAAAGAGAGAATCAGGAAACCAGGCTTGGTCTGATGAAAATGACAAGATATTCAATGAGCTTATGATCACAAATGGAAGACTTCGTGATCATATAGCCCAAAACTCCAAGTAGAAGCAACCGGCTAAACAACAAACCTAGGTAGAGGTCCAAAGGATAACTCATGGCATGAAGAACAGATAG